CAGTGCTAGGCCTTGTGTGAGGCAGTAAGAACATGTGGAAGATGACACTTCCTATGCCAAAGAGTAGGAGGTCCCTTAAAATCTGTCTAACTGTGTTTGCACATCGTGGGTACCTCACACTGCAGCTGAGATGGGACTGTGAGTACTGGATTGGGTGGCAGATGGTTGGAGAGCCAACTGGCATAGTGCAAATGGGAAAATAATAGGGTTTGATTGCTGCAGTCCATTGTGGTTTTGAGCCTATGAGTCCAAAACTACTGCTAATTCACTCATGTGTTTTCCTTATGAAAGTTGAGTATTTTACATCTCAGTTCTGGAGACTGACTATGCTTGTGGATGCTTTAGCTGTCTATAGAAGATATGACACAGATAACACCGTAGCAGAAAGCCAAATTACTCACACCCGTATTCACAACTGAGGAATGTGGGGTTTCCCACACTGCGTCATGGTTACAATTTGGAGAAGCTGTCTCAAGTACAAGCTACAAAAGAGATTCATGGTAGAGCTGCTCAAGGGTGGCAGATCAGTGCACACACATGGATGTGTGGTGGTTGGCTACAGGTAGGAAAAGAACATAAATTAGAAGGGGCTTCCACACCAGCATCGTGGGTAAACAGTGATCTAACTTAGATCTGCTAGCAAAGGGCTGGAGGGTGGGCATCTCTGAGATGATCCAGCAGAATTAAAGACATTTTATGCTGCAGGCTGGGTATCAGAAGTTGATGGACGTGCACAGAATGTGGCATTTCAGAGAAGAGTCCATGTGACTTTAGAAGAGGCAACTTGTGTCTTGCAGATACGCTTTTTTGAAGAGATGAGCTGAGAAAAAGGCAGACAGCTGCTGAGGATTAAGAGGAAAGTTTTTCTTTTGAATAACTGGTTATAGATAGGAAATAAAAGATACAAATAACAGGGCAGTTTTCACAATGAAAGGAGATTACCAGGTATCTGTCCTGGGAACTGGTGCAGTTCAATATCCTCGTAAAAGAGCTGAAAAAAGGAGACGGTCATCAGTGATGGACTGAAATCTGCTGATGGCATAGAGTTATTCCAAGTAAGCAAAAGTAGACATTGCGACAAAAAGCCACAGAAGAACCTGACGATATCAAATGTCTGTGCAATAAAATAGCTGCTGAAATTCCATGTTGATGAAAGTCAAGTGCAGGCACAATGATAGGGTTTAAATTAACCCGCGAAATAAGTCCTGGTGCCATTGCAGATGGTTCTTTGAAAACGTCTGCTCAGAGCTGAGCAGAGGTCAGAAAGGCAAGTGGAATGCAAAGAATTTCTGGGAAAGAGACGGGGAATGAAAGAGAAAATGTAAGTGCAGCACTGAGTAAATCCGTGGTGATTTTGTATAGAGTGCAATTCCAGTCACCCCATCTCAATGAGGCGGTAAAATAGAGCCAGAGAGGATGCAGAAGAGGGCAAGAAGGCTGACCTGAGTTATGGGTGGGGAGTCTAAACAGCCTCAGCCCCTGAAGCCTGCAGAAGAAATGAATGAACGGAATGAAGGCAGAGAATCAAGATCCCTATGCAAAGAGCAAGTAAGAATTATTTTTTGTGGCAGAGGCTGTTCTGTGTAATGACATGGCCAGGCAACAAGTTTTAAGCAAACTTTTGCAGGCTCTAATAAATTACAAAACTCATCAAACAAAACCTTTCACATTCCAGAAGTACAAGTTGCTTAAAAAAGTGGTAGTGCTGAGGTTCCCAGTGCAGGCTCCAAGGCTTTTGTCTTCCACGACCGACCCCAAACATCAAAATGACTGTGTTCTCTTCATCCATTTTGGTTGGGCAGGGCTTGGGTTCTGGTTTGGTTTGGCTTCTGTTCTAAAACCTGCGAGGTTTTTTGGGGCTGGGTTGTAATCAGATAGGGGATGGTTGTGCTCTTCCACTGTGGTCTCTTGAGTTGTGAAAGCCACAGAAGTCCCTTGAATATATTAATGAGTTAGGTCTATTTTAACTGTAGTGGGATATCTGGGGGAAAAATGATCCAAGAGTACTTCAGCAATTTCCTGCACTCTGTGAAAGGTCCCAATGGTGGATTATAGAATCCTATCATGGAATCATAGAATGGTTTGGGTTGGAAGGGACCTTTAAAGGCATCTACTTCCAACCCCCTGATGTAGGCAGGAACACCTCCCATCAGACCAGGTTGCTCACAGCCCCGTCCAGCCTGGCCTTAAATGCCTCCAAGGAGGAGGCATCTATGAGCTCCCTGGAGATATTATAAGAGAATTACATTCTCTTTCACTCGATTCTTCCCATTTCTGCATGCAAAAGCTGCAGCTGCCCTTTTGGCTGCCGCATGGTGCTGGGAGCTCACACTGGATAGCTTGGGAATTGTGTGGACTAAAAAGCAAGGACCAAAAAGTCTGCTAGAACAGGATTATTGTCAAATTACATCTGCCTTGGCGGCAGGAAATCAATCAAGAGTGTGCTGATTTACACCTGCCAGAGCCAACACATCATGAACTTCATCATCTTTCCCGGTGATGTTTTTATCTTTGCACTGACACAGTCAGTGAGAGGAAAATATTTTCCCATTTAAAATCAAAACATTCAAGGTAGTGTTTGGCAAAGCACTGGAGCCTGGGGTTCCTGCTGTTTCTGACAACAGTGCCGGTATCTTTTGCTAATGACCAAAGAGCAACATAATGAGTTGTCTTGGGCTTCTGCTCTATTCAGCGTGCAGCGTTTTAATAGGCTGTTAGTAATTCTGAAAGGGATAAATGATGTTTATGCCCCCTCGTGGTGTGTTACTGAACGGAATGGATTTTCTAGCTGGAAAAAAAAAATGAAAAAAAAAAGGAGGCCAATGATGGAAAAGTCCCAGGTAAAAATCTGTAACAAGCAGAAAAATACCCATCCCTCCAGCAGCATCCTCATGACTCAGACAAGGAGGAAGCCAATTTTGCAGCATTTTCAGCAGCAAGTAAATGACTAATGCCCGTGATGGCAGAGCCTGTGCCATCTTTCTGCGGTGAAGATAATGTCAAAAGTGCTTTTCTTTGCTAGAAATGTTAGGAAACCAGTGAAACATAGCTTCCTTAGAGCAGTTGTGTTGACATCTCTTTGTGTCGGTTGTTGCCAATCTGTTGTGATACAGGACTTCGTGTTTTTATCTTCTTTGCTAATACATCTGGCACGTAATAGCCTGGTTCCCTTGGGACAAAACCTGTCCCGAAGATGAGAAATATTGTTCAGTGATTTTATGTGGGAAAACAAGATTGGAATCCTGTGAAATAGGGCTTGTTATCTCTGTGCTCAAATGTGGGATCACAACATTGCTTAGCTAGTCCACAACTTCCTTATCTGCACTTAGAATTTAGATGTCAGGCTTTGAATCAAAGGGCTCCCCACGCAAGTCCATCACGGATTTTGTAATCTTATTACTTAAGCCCTGATAGAAAGCTGAATACAGCCAAATGTGTCTCCAGGAAGTGGAATTACCGGAGTGCATTGGACTGGTGTCAGCCTTGTCTGGCAGCTAACTCCTGAATGGTATCAGTACTCTGCTATACTGAGGCAAGAGCTAAGAAACCCTATTGTATGGTATTTTAAGGCTCTTTGGCCCCAAATAATCACCTTTTAATGTTTAAATACTTGCTAATGCTTCATTTACATACTTTCTTGACTTGTCATCCTTCTCTTTGAGCAGTGACCAGGGATGTAGGAGACCACTGGAAAAAGAAAAGGAATGATTTCCTTTCCATGTTCATGATGAGTCTGACCAAAATAGTGGGTTTAAATGAAAGCTGTGGGCTTAATCCTGGCTAGGCCAGGATGGAAAATACTGGAATACTGAGTAACCAGAAGGATGTCCATCTCTGAAGATCTCTGAGAAGCAGTTAGACAAAGGTCTGCTGGCTGTTGTGAGTTGTATTGTGATGAAGGAAGTTGGATTGGATGACTTCTTGCAGGTCCTTCCAGGTCTGCTTTTATGACGTGGTGGCTTCCTTTTATTGTTTTTATTGCCAATATGACGAGATTTGTCAGGTAATCAGCTTATCTGCTAATGCTTTCTTCTTAAAGCCCATCTTGCTGTCAATTCTGGCTGACAGCAACACAGATGTACCAATGTCCAGGGCTTTAGAAGTATACTTTACAACAGTAAACACTAGCCTGACACCAATTAAAGTGCTTATAAGATTATCATGGACTGCAGTGAGCAGTCCCCACTGAGATGAGATGAGAACTGGCTCCAAAAGGTTGGTGCTTAGCAATTTCCTTAGAAATGAAAAATTCAGTAGGTAAAATGACATGGCAATTCATATGAAAAAGAAGTTTCCTCTATCAGAAAACCTCCAGGAGTTTTGAATTCAGCTAGGGATATCAGAAAGAAATTTAAGTCTAATTTGAAATTCCCACCCACGTTCCTTCTCCTGTCCCTGCAAAGTGATTGCTGCTACTGGTCCACTCACTGGCAGATCTTCTTTCAGAAGTGAGACACAATTTGTCTGAAAAATACCTTTCTGTTCATGATGGAATCATTCATTTTGAAGGAAGGGTTTGCAGAGACAGTGAAAAGAGCCTGAATGTTCTTATTTCCCTCTGTTGTCAGTGGGGCTCGAATTTCATCCCAAAATTTTTCTTGGCACGATTGGCTGAACAATGTATTTCAGAACTGAGACATTGGCCAAGAGAAGTCCTTGGACACCTGCAAAGCCTTGCACATCTCTTTTCCACTTGTATTGATGGCACCACATCTCTCCCTGGTACTGCTCATAAAGAGAACAAATGTGTGGCGATAGCAAATTAAACAAATGAGCCATTAAAAATGAAGGGTGCACTGCCCCTTCTCTCCGACACGTATTTTGGTGCCCACAACCTCTTCTAGAGAAATTACAAGGATAAAAGGCTCTCAGAGATGTGCTGTAAGTGTGGTCCAGGCACTGAGAGATGCCTGTGGTTCCTTCTGAGAGGAAACCGTATGTCATTCATCAGCAGGGAAGCCAACAAACCACTAATGGATCTCCATGTTGTCTCTTGACAGGTATTGACAGAAAGCGGTTTTGGTGCCATCACAACAGAAATCCGGGAGGCTCCGGAGTTTTATTACGCTGAAGATTACCATCAGCAGTACCTCAGCAAGAACCCCAACGGATACTGTGGCCTCGGGGGAACGGGGATTTCCTGCCCCATCGGGATCAGGAAATAGCTTGTGCTCATGGCACCCCCAGTGCTTTGTTCTAGGGGGTTGTTCTGAAAAGGCCGACAGCAATGAGAGGTGTTCCGGTACCCACAGCATCAGCACATCAAGATTTGGGATGGCTTGCTGTAATCTGAGCAGCTTCCTGTTCATTGACATTAAAAGCCAAGGAGATTTGGAAATTTTGCTTGCTGGCCAATGCAGCTTCTTGCTCTGTGCAGTTCCCTGGTTTCCTCATGAGCTTGAAATTTAGAGAGGAAAGAAACTTCTTAAAGTTTGGCTTGAAACGCTGCTAAAGGGATGGATTGTGGGGTGGCTGCACCCATTAAGCACTTTGCATAGCTAATGTCTATAGGCATACTTATTTTCTTGGATTGATGAATTTGTTCATGCTTTAGCTTTGACTTCTGGAGACATAGCTGAGCTCATCTTAGCTATCACAACCCTGTAATTTGATGTCTTTGAGAATGATGAATTTAGAAGATCAGTAATTCTCTCACAATTCCACTTTTGCTGCAACGTGTAATATCACCTATAGTGCCTATTTTCTGAAGCAATTTTAGTAAGAAAAAGTAAAAATTGTGATGTGATACTTTTGACAGTTCCAAAAAATGTACAAACACAGAAAGAAATCAATTTGGTTTCCTGCACTACAATAAATTACAAAGACAGGAAAGAAAAATGCTATCTCCAGTGTGTTCCATGGCTCTAAATATATGTCTGGGTAGATCTGGAAAAGTTATCAAATATTAGAAAAGTCTGCAGCTTACTAATTAAACACCAGGGCTTTTTAAAATCAGTATTATTATGCATGACACTACAGAGGAGTATGCTAGGTGTACTGTAACGTAATTATTCCCATGATTAGCTATTTGTACTTCAGTAGCTTGTGATGTCACCGCCAAGATTTTCTGGTCAACTGGAGAGGTCCCAAAGGGTTGAAGACTTGCCACTGTGACTCCCATCTACAAGAAGGTTCCTAAAGAGGATCTGGGGAGCTGCAGGCCACTCAGCCTGACCTCGGAGCCAGGAAAAATTATGGAGAAGATAATTTTGAGTGAGATCACATGGCATGTGCGGGACAACTGGGTGATCAGGTCCAGCCAGCATGGATTGAAAGTGAAAGGCAGGTCCTGCCTGGCCATCTTGATCTCCTTCTATGATGGAGTGACCGCTGCTGATGTAATCTACCTAGACTGCAGCAAAGCCTTTGACACTCTCTCCCACAGTTCTCTTGGAGCTTCTTCATACAGCCTCTCGTAGAGACTCATGGCTTAGACAGGTACTCTCTTTTCTGGGTAAGGAACTGGCTGGAGGGCCAGGCCCATAGAGTGAAGTCAAATCCAGCTGGTGGCTGGTCCAAGTGGTGTTCCCCAGGGACTGGTATTTGGGTCTGTTCTGTTTGATATCTTTACTGATGATTTGGATGAGGGCATTGAGCACATCCTCAGTAAGTTTGCAGATGACACCAACTTGTGAGGAAGGATTGATCTGCCTGAAAATTAGGAAGGCCCTACAGAGAGATCTGAACAGGCTAGATAGGTGGGCAGAAGCCAATGGGATGAAGAACAACAAGACCAAGTGTTGGGTCTGGAACTTTGGCCACAACCCCAGGCAACACCACAGGCTTGGGGCAGAGAAGCTGGCTGGAGACTGCGTGGAGGAAATGGGCCTGGTGGGGTTTGTCAGTGCTTGGCTGAACATGAGCCAGCAGTGTGCCCAGGTGGCCAAGAAGGCCATTGGTGTCCTGGCTTATACCAGAAATAGTGCTGCCAGTAGGAGCAGGGAACTGATCATCCCTCTGTACTCAGCAGCACCCCTCACTGCAAGAAAGACATTGAGGCCATGGAATGTGTCCAAAGAAGGGCAACGAAGCTGTAAGGGGTCTGGAGCACAAGTGTTACGGGAAATGGCTGAGGATTGTCTGGAGAAGAGGAGGCTCAGAAGAGACGTTATAGCTCTCCACAGCTACCTGAAAGGTGGGGTTTGGACTCTTCTCCTGTGTAACTAGTGAGGGGAATGACCTCCTTGCATCAGGGGAGATTCAGGTTGGATATTACAAAAAAAATTTTATCTGAAATAGTGGTCAGGTGCTGGAATGGGCTGCCCTGGGAGGTGGTTGAGTCACCGTCCCTGGAGGTGTTCAAGAAACATTTAGGTGTTGTACTAAGGGACAGGATTTTGTGGGGAAATATTCGTAGGTGGACAGTTGGGCTGGATGATCTAAGAGGTCTTTTCCAACCTCAGTGATTCTATGATTCTAAGATCAGAGCTCATTATGGTAGGTGCTGTGCAAACATAAGATGTGGGACTACATCTGCATGTATAGAACGCAGAGCAGCCAGAAAGAGACAAAGCCTTTCATTTTGGGGGATCTCAAAAGACCAAAAGCTGGAGATGAAGGATGTAGGCAATGCAGGGGATATCCTATATGGGTACAGGATCTTTTGAGACATATATACGTGCTATGGGATGTCCTCTTAGGTTAAACAACTTCAGTGAGAAAGATGGGGATATGTTAATTCCACCTACACAGCTTGTTGCTTATGATATTTCTCAGACTGGTGAGAGATGTGGCCTTCAGCCTCTCGTTTCCTATTTTGGAAGCTACCCAAATCACTACTTTTGGAGGGCGTTGGTGTGTTCTCAGAGATGTGTAATGGAGCAACTTTGCTTTTCTTTGGAGAAAATTGGCAGGAGCTCATTCTGATGTGGCAATTCTGGGCAGAGGAACACGTAAAGATTGTTCTGAGGGCCAGACAGTGAGGATGCAGGGACACACATCCACACCATTTCACTGGATAGCTCAATGATAACTATTCTTTTTAAGAGGCTTATGCCTGGGGCAAGTTTGCAAGGAGCTGCTTCTGGCAGGATTGCCATGTTAGGCTCCTTCTGGAGAGACCCCAAAATGTGTCCGTATCACAGTTGGAATTTCCAGTTGCCATAGGAACTGGTCACCTATTTGTTGTTAGTGTTTACCTCTGAATCGTTTTGTTGCTCACTGTCAAGGAAACCAGCACTTGTGCCCAATTTCCTAGGCATGGGGTGACATAAAAGAAAAAAAAAAGGAAAATAAAGTCTGACTTTCTTCCTATGCATTTTTAACCCTGGTGCATTTCAGGCTTCAGCGGGATAACTCTTGGTTTGCTCCATTGTACAGGGCAAAACATGTCATATTTTGAATCATTCTGATGCTCATAAGATGTTACCTGGTTTCCTTTGTCCTTTCCCCTCCCTTGCCCCCCACTCACTGGTGCAGTTATTGTATCATTAAAGTGTTCGGAGAAAACACCATTCTGTCCTTAATACTGAGCTCAGGTCTGAATTTGACTTCTTTTAAGTCCTCTCTCCTTATTTAGTGAAGATTTTCTACAGAGGAATTTTGGCCTTGAACTCTTGCAGTTGCTGTTGGAGGTACAAACAGTAGGGAGGATAAAATTAGTTAAGGAGAAATGATGCAGTTTCATGGATTGGTTTTCTAAGCTGGGTGTTGTTTTGTAAGCCACTCTTGTACACAGTTTTCTGGAAGGATGGGAGTGGGTGCCTCAGCATCTTTGGCTCTGTAATTCCCTGGAGGCATTCAAGGCCAGGCTGGATGTGGCTCTGGGCAGCCTGGTCTGGTGGTTGGAGACCTTGCACATGGCAGGGGGGTTGAAACTCGATGATCATTGTGATCCTTTTCAGCCCAGGCCATTCTATGATTCTATGACTCTGTGAATTCACACTGTTTGAATCTGGCCCTACCACAAAGCTGCTGCTTACTTCTGATAATGTAGAGGTGGTCTGAACATAGGGGAAAATTCATTCAACTTTTGATAGGCTCCAGCACTTCTCAAAGATGAAAACCAAAGCAGGACCAACAAATAAAGTCTTTGGAGAGAAAAAGATGGTTTGAGAATGAAGGCTTACAGCACCCAGCCCAAGAAATCCATTGTTGTGATACTCCATGAAATTCAGTCCAGGAATGGAGTACTGACTAATCTCTATCATAACTAAAGCAACTGTGTGAGCTTTCCCTCATTGGCAGTTGGACTAGATATTGTAGGTCCTTTCCAACCTTGTGATTCTGTGATCGTCACAGAAGCGTAGCATCCAACTGTGATGTCAGCAGAACAAATGAATAGTGTGATATCACAGCCCAGTTGCCCCTGTCAGAGGGATGTGGCTGTGGAAGCATCACTGTCCTGAATATTGTGAAGAGCATTGGTCCAAGAGTGGGATGAAAATGCTTCTCTTTACTTTCTGGGTGTTAACTTCTCTAATCAGCAGCATCCATGCAGAAGGTCTTTCCAGAGCTTATGTGTTCTTCAGAAGTCACCAGCCGATCAAAATGGCTGCTACCCAGTCTGCATACTCACACAATGGTAAATGCAGCTCTCCTGTCTCATTCCTTGAACAAGTTGTAAGGATGATCAAGGATCAGTGCTTTCACCTACATCTTTCCCTTCTAATTTAGTAGCACAGGCAGTGCTGCAGGCATATGTGAGCAGTACGTCTTATTTTGTACCCAGAGTGTGGCCTTCGACCATCTTTTGAGTCCTTTCTGTGGACTGGCAAGAGGATCACAGGTGGGAGATATGCCAAGGCTGGAGAGTTCCCATGGCAAGTGAGCATCCAGAGCAATGGGAAACACATCTGTGGAGGCAGCATAATCAGTGCGTTGTGGATCCTGACTGCGGCCCATTGCTTTGCAGATGAAGTGTGAGTACTTCTGTGCCCAGAGGAGGGCTGTAAAGTTAGCAAAAGGGCTGGAGGGTAGAGGCTTAGGGGAGAGGATTAGGGCATATAAGTTGTCTGGCTTGGAGTAGAGAAGGCTGTGTGGACACCTCGCTGATCTCTTCAACTTCCTGAGGAGGGGAATTGGGTAGGGAGATGCTGGTCCATAATGTGCTTCAACTTTTTGTTAGTCCTGAAGAAATCAGACAGTTGAACTAGATGATTGTAGGTCGATTCCAACTCAAATATTGTATTGTACTGCATTGTATTGCCCTACCCTACCCTACCCTACCCTATCCTATCCTATCCTGTCCTGTCCTGTCCTGTCCTGTCCTATCCTTTCTTTCTACTCTATTCTGTTCTCTCTGCTCTACTTGGGATCAAAAAGAACTGCTCAGGCATGATGGAATGATAACACTGCTCTTCAGGATGTCCTTGGGATCAAGTGCAAAATATATGTGGTGGAGCCAGGAAAAGAACACTGAGAGTTTTTCTTTCTTTGGAGAAAGAAAAAAAGACCAGCTATTGATCACAGGTGGCATTACAACAGAAATTTGCAAAAATCCAGGAGATCTAGAAGGCGAGTATATTGAAGGATGGTGTGAGCATCCTTCTGCAAATGGTCATGAAGTTGTTCTGCTGCCCCCCCAAACTGTACATCAGCACATGTTGGGGTACCTTGTAAAAAGAGATATATTCCACTGCAATTTATCATAAGTCCCAAATTACACTGGTATCATATAGCAAACACCTTTACCTTATGGGTAGTCTGACATTAATGCAGCAGTTTCTGGACACATTAACTCATGCAGTGTCCAATGGAGCAGACTCCAGCCCTCCAAAATAAGGCAGGTTCAAGAGCCAGGACTGTTCAGTGACAAATGACCTGTGGCACCACAGCCTGGAGCAACTGACAAGGGACACTGTGATCACGGAGCAGCCAGCCCTGGGCCCAGCTATCCTGAACATCTAGATCTCCCCATCTGTTCATTAGCTAGGCTACTTAGAACTTGCTTGCATTTACTTTCTACCTCTTCTTCCACTTCACCTGAAAATTAGCTTTGCCTGGAAATGAGGTGTGATTTCTGTGATATTTATAGCTAACCCACCCCTGCTATTTGCAGAGAACTATGGTACCCTGCTCAGGGAAAGGAGGCATCAACCTCTATAACACAACACCTTTCCATTTGCTTATGCATATACTATTTTTATGCATATTTTTATGCTCATACATATACTTTTTTTTTTTTTTGTATGTTTATAAGGCCACCAGATATTAAGATTGTAATGGGAGCAGTTGACCTTGACCTCCCACTGGAAGTACGTGAGCCAAGCAAGTTGATCCTCCATGAAGACTTTGACCGAATAACCTTGAAGCACGATATTGCTCTGATCATGCTCAACTATCCCATTGAATTCAGCAATGAGAAAATCCCCATCTGCTTTCCCTACATGGATGACATCAGTTCATGGCAACACTGCTGGGTTGCTGGATGGGGAATGACAGGTGCAGGTGAGATGGTGCAGGGAGATGTATTTGCTAATGGAGGTTTTCATCCACTTGAAGCAGATGTTCTCCCTCTGGGAGGGGTTACCCACAATGAGCATGTATGCTCCAGCTGAAAGCTTAGAACCCACCATTGCTTTGCAAGAACTCAACCTTCTTCCTTGACTTTCTGAGCACTCAAAGTAAGGCAATTTCCAACCACGCTGGGAAATTTATGTTGGGTCTAAAGTGGTGTTGAATAAGAGAAATGAAGATTCAAGGTTGCCTTTGGCAAGATGCCTTTATTAAACACGTTATTCAATGGTTCTGACCACCCCTTCTTGTACTATATTTGGAAAAGTAGATTGCCATTACTAATTGTTCCATTCAAGCCCTAATAAAGTAGCTCCAGCACTGATTGTGACCCAAAATGCCTATCCTGAGCAAATACCACCAAATAGCTAATGAGCTATTTCATTATTGGAAAGAAGTAATCAGGACAGAGTGGGTAGAGTGGTGCCTTGGGGCTTTAACAGTCCTTCCCTGATGCAGGAAGCTCATGTCCCATTTTATCCTTGCTATTCTGCTCTGTGGAGTTACTGTCTCTTCTCTGAACCTCTGCATTTTCTTTCTTATGCTTCATTCACTTCGTATAACTGTAGATCAGAACACAAAGCTGTGTTTTAATTGTGAGGGTCTTCGATTTCACTAAGGTAACATGCTCTTAAGAAACAGAAAAGCAGGGGCAATTCTGTGGAATTGTTCTGGCAGGATTCCACCTGCAGTGAAGTTCTCTTTGCCAGGTGCATGGTGTGACTTATTTTGCTATGTGTCAGGCTGAGTTTGCCTCTGCCATCCAAACTGCACCCAGTGGGAAGTTAGTGCACCCAACCCTGGCACCCAGCCCTTCTGCCTGGGAGACGTTTCAGAGGAAAAACTGGAAAAGCTGAGACTGGCAAGTGGGACATGCATTGGTGTGGCATGGGTCATACAAAAAATATAACCTATTGTTCTAGCATGGATGGAAGCATGGTTGCTTTCTTGACTTTTGTAGGTAGACATCACTGAAATGTCACCTTGACTGTCACCAGCCTGACTCCCTTTTGATTGCTGTCAATTAGACTTCAACTAGATATATAGCCACCTCCCTGGAGATTCCTGTATTAAATCATTTTAATTTCTGTCTGCTTCTATGAAAGGGTTCCATGTTAGCTGGAAGAAGAGCATGAATAATTTCTGTCTTCTAAGAAGTTACCTTTGAGTCCTATCTTCCTTAAGGTTGTGTAAAGTTTGATGAGCCTTCTCTTCTCACTTGCTTAACATCTGCAGTGTCATCATCCCACGTGCTGCAGAAAGCGAGGATGAAGCTTATCAGCCGGGAGGAGTGCTTGGACCAGATACCAAAGCTACCAAAGGATATGTTATGCATTGAGCTGGAGCAAGGATCCTGCCAGGTAAACCATCCCCCAGGATGGCCATGCTGCCAGTGGGGGCACAGGGACATCCATGCTTCCTGTGGTTTCATAGGTTTCTTTGCATTAGGCCAGGGCAAGAAGCTGAAAGGCCAAGGACCTGCCTATCTGATGTACAGCAAGTGCACATAGACCCAAACACTGTGGTACTCCTGGAGGTCAGTGGTGGTTGTATGCAGGTGGGAGCTCAACAAAGTGTGGTCTGCTTTCTCCTTGGTACAGGCAGCACTGTTCTGTTATCAGGTTAAATACAGAAAGAAGACAGGCAGGTCTATCCAGGAGGGCCAAAGCAAAAAGAGTGGGCGATAAAATGAGTCCAGGAGTGTTTAGTTTTTCTCTTGTGAGGTATTGGCACAGGCTGCCCAGCAAGGTGTGGAGTCAAAGTGTTCAAGTGTGGATGTCACACCAAGACACATGGTCTAGAGTGGTCATAGGTATGGGTTGATGGTTGGATTAGGTGATCTTGTTGGTCTTTCCAACCTTAATGATTCTATGAATGTTAGAAATCTTTCAAAGGCTGGTCTTTGTGCTGACAGGAATGTCCTTAGATAGCATGGCAGGTTTGTCTGTGAGTTCCAAAGCTAACTAGTTTACATATTACAGTAGGTTAGTGATATGGGATGGTGGAGTTTTGAAGCTAAATTATGGAGCTCGAGTAGTATTTGATATAAGGGACTACTAAGGGGAGAGAGCTGAAACAAACGTTGGCTGGATCAGATGACCTCCAGAGATCCTTTTCAACCTCATCCTTTCTGTGATTCTGTGGAATGTCTAGAAATGGGGAAACCTCACACAGAATAATGTGCTGTCAGAACATGCTTCACACACAGAATGGCTGTAATGATGTCAAAATCTGAGAGCCAAAAAAAACCCCCTTGCTTTCACACTGTCTGACCTCCAGCCCCTTCTCTGAGTGCTCTCCCTGTAGCTTCTACCATGATAGGAACAGGGCTAAGACCTTTCTCCTCTACTGAGCAAGGGTTTTCTTAGATATGTGCCTGTGTTTGGAAAGGGACAGACAGTCAGACACTTGAACTTGTACAACTTCATCCTGTAGGAATCCTTTACTAAGGGAAATAACACCCAGGACTCAAAGAGATTCTTGACTTTAAGGTACAGGCAGCAGGAACAGGGGTGTGGATTGCTCATAGCTGGGTAGAGAAGGAGAAGCTTTGCTTTGCAAAATCTATATTTTTGATTTTTTTTTTTTACTTTGGAAAATAATTTTTGTTGATTAGCCAGAGAATGTTTGCCTGTGAAGCCATTCATCTAGTGACTTTCACCTCCATTAAATTCAATCAAAAACATAAGAAGAAAACTGCCACAGGATAACATTAACGTGATTAAAGAATGCACTTTCCAGCCCATCCTTAAGTTCTGCATTTGAATTATGCTGGTGAAACTGCAAGAGCACTTGTACCCAGCAAAACTAATCTGCTGCATTCAGAAAACTGACAAGGGTGCTATTTTGATCTACAGTAATGTTAGAGTAGTCTGAGAAATGAACTAGAAATGTGAGCTTTCCAAGCAGTCAAAGAACAGAGTGATTGGATGTATAATAATGCTCATAACCCAGCAAGTGCCCACTTTAGCAGAAGTTTGGCCAGATAGAAATGACTTGCAACCTGAAATAATGAAAACAAGACTAGAATATATGCTAAGCTAGAAGTAGGGCTGTTCAGGGGTGAAACAGTGACATGACTTCTCATCAGGGTTTTCTAATTTTCTGGAGGGGAAGTATTTGGTGGTAGATGGTTTCCATTGATAGGGTTTGGGTGGGGAAGGTTGGAACCAGATGGCAGAGGAGTTGGAACTAAATGATCTTTCCAACCCAAACTATGCTATGGTTCTTTGACTATGATTTTATGGCTCTGTGACTATGATTCTGTGATTTTGGCCTTGCTAGGCTGGTGCAGAAGTCTAGTGTTTTGCTCACAGTAGACTGCTGAATAAGGAAGTGGTAGAGTAGGTCCCAACATGATGATGCTCTGCAGGAAGTCGTACTGCTCCAAGTCCAATTTATCGAGCTATTCTTTTCCATAGACTGGGTTTTGTTTCAAATGAAGAAGAGTCCAAATCTCAAAATGCCTAAGTTCTTTACAAAGTGAGAGGGACTTCTCTGGACAGCTCTGTGGGAAGCCTTACTTTATCACACCAACATACATCTGTATTTTGGGGAACCCAGATGGGATTAGTAGCATTGCTTGTGGTTTGGGGTTTGAGGTTGTTGGATGGGATTGGATAAACACTGGGAGATGGGGTGATAGAAGAAGAACACCTTTTATATTTTAGTCTCCTGTCCATGCTTCTAAGTGTAGATCCTGCCCATGTACCTGGAAAAAGGCATAGAAGGGAGAAGGGTGCCTTTGTTCACACCCAGAGTTAGACTAAGATGGGAAAGTTGCATTTAGACCACAGGCTGTAAGTCTGCATGATCTGACCTGGATCCAGAGGATTACCATGCTTGACCTTTACTCTGTATACCACTTGTGTGATGGATTTTGTATGATTTTGTATGAGCAACCAGAGCCACACAGATATCTTCACCAAAGTGTCATGTGAAAGTTTTGTTCTACTGATAAAACTTGGTATACTCCTTGATATGTGGCACAGGTCATGAATCGAAAGGCTCAGACTGTTTCATTAGCTGCCATCATAGTATTACTAGAGCATAACTAATTTGTGGATCACTGACTGTATTCCAATAGTAATCCAAGGAGATAAAATAGAAGAGCTCCTGAGTATTTGTACTTAAAAAAAATCTATTCACTTAAAAAAGAAAAATCTACAGTATACCAATTTCCAAGCGGTTCTTCAGACAAATATATAGATTGACCATGAATTAACACTAACAGGATCTATAATTGACTTATAGTTCTATTTAGTCATAATCATTAGCGTTAACGGATGTTCATGGAGTACAAGTGCTAAAGAACAGATACTAGAGGTGGCCCATGTGTTATTTTTTTGTATGCTATGTTTCTTCCATGACCTCATGAACCTTAATTGATGTCTAATTCCTTGCTTCCTCAAGCACCTTTTGTTAGGCCCTGATGCAATAGTAACTTGAGTGATAATTAGAGTTTAAAGGACTTGCAAAGCAAATGCCTCTTCAATGTCTTGCCTACCCAGACAAAATTCATTAAATGACCCAATTATGTTTCAGAGAGCTTCTGCAAGGGAGGTTCTGTGGAGGTTGCTCAGAGATGTGGTGATTAGGATGGCACTTGTCTTGCTGGATGTCACATTTAATGTACATTTCAGACCCAGGACAGACTTGCAGGAGAGTGAACCACTGTGGGACCAGAAGCAGGCTGTAGAATTATTCCAATTCATCTTCGCTGTTCCCTCCTCCCATGCTGTGTTGGGCAGGTGCCAGAGCCCTGGCACAGGGAGCAGAGAGCTCTGGGGTCTCCTCCTTGGGGATCTGCCAAAACAGCTGGCTGTGGTGCTGGGCACCCTGCTCTGGGTGGTCCTGCTGGGGCAGTGGGGAGCAGAGGGATGCAGGGGTGCCCTGATACCAACCATTCTGGGATTCTCTGAATGGCTCTGTAGCTTTTGGGATGCTAAGGCCTCCTGCACCATGTAGCTATAGCCATAACAGTAGTTCTTTGGTGAGATTTATCTGATAACATGAAATGTCTCTTCTACAGCTATTTGCAACTAGCCAGTCATATTTCTATTAATGGGGATTTAAAAAAATGATTTTGAATGTGTGATTCATTTGAATTGTTTCAAACATCTGTTTTAAAATGAGCTAAATCCCTGTAGGAGCACTGATCATTCAAGTTCACAGGTGAAGACACGGCTCCAAGGTAGGACAGTTCCCTACAAGGAAGTCTCCAACATAGTCTTAGATATTCCAGGATCCATGGGGAAGTTTTTCACAGAGAGGACAGTAAGACCCTGGCACAGGGTGCCCCATGTTGTTACCCAGACCCTGGAGGTGCTCAAGGCCGGGTTGGATGGGGCCATGGGCAGCCTGACCTGCTGCCTGATTTACTGGTTGGCAACCCTGCCCAAAGCAGCGGGGTTGGAATTTGATGATCTTTGAGATCCCTTTCAAACCAAGTCATTGTGTGATTCATTCTGTGATTCTGTGATATCCTCACGGCATCCAGCTGTCCCCATTTTGAATCGTACCCCAGTGGTGAAAACATGATTGGGCAGGGAGCTTGACATTTGCTCTGGAATCCCCTTGGAGTTGTGATATTTGTCTGGAGCTGCCCTCCCACTGTGCCTAAGAGTGAGAGATAAACCCATGTAGTAGTGACCAGAACTCTTGCATCATTTTACAAGCCTTTTTATCCTTTTACTTGTGCTAACGAGGCTCAAGAACTGTGAAGGAAAACTTGTGAAACAGGATTTTTTAAAAAGGAGGTCTGCAAATGAAACTTGGCTTCATGCAGGTAAATGGTCACAGAAACGAGGCAAAGGCCACAAACCAAGAAAACTTGCTCAAATCCTGCAGCTGTTAAAAATATACACACAGAGGTGGATGGATGATGGTGTGATTGTGGTCTGTAGATGTGGAGAGTATCTGTGTGAGGTCTGAGGTCATAGGCTTTTTTTTCTATCAATAAAAGGTCTCCTGGGGTCTGGCTTTGGAAGCTAGCCATATTTCAACTCTAAGTTGTTACTGACAAGGCAGTACTGCTTTACAGTTGCACCTTAATATTGAAGAGAGTTACCCACTCACATGTTTCATGATAGATTCTCCACCACAGGACAATTGCTATCATGTCAAGGTGTAGGGTAGTTTTTCTTTTTTCCACAGAGTATGATGATTTTAAATAGGATGGTGTTATGAAAAAAAAAAAAAAGCAGAACAAAGCAGTTGAAAGACATTTTTGCTTTTACAATCTGTTACATTTGCTTCTAAAGGGTGCTTTGATGTGCAGCTTTTAAGAATTAGAATATTTTCTTGTGTCCCATGGCTTGGTAGAGCTTTCATCAACTGATCATTTTATCGTATGGGCAGG